CTGGTCCTATTGACTGCATGTTCCCTTCAAGGAAGTTTACTTTGGTGCTCCTTTGTGTTTATGGGACATTAAAAATAGTCTTGCCACAATCTTTTCTGTACTTGAAACTTTTTTAATACCCAAGTCACACGAGTGAATATGGAACACTTAGAAGAGAAATAATACAAAGCACTACATGGCAAGATCCTCTGCCTTCCGATATTCCCAGTTGTAGCAATTCCTGGCTACTCTTTGTAGCCGGGAAAGTGGCCTCATCCTCAGAGTCTCCATCTGCAAATGGGTGTAAAACACAGGAGCCACATCGTGGGGTTGTCTGAGGACTAAGTGAGGTGTTGGGAGGCGCGGTGGCTATGTTATGTTATTTTATTTTTTCTTTTTACCCACCCCCTCACCACCCCACTCCTCATTGGCAACCATAAGCTTGCTCTCTGTATCTGTTTTGTTTATTCATTCATTTTGTTTTTTAAAAATTCCACATATAAGTGAAATCATATGGTATTTGTCTTTCTCTGACTTATTTCACATACCGTGTTTCCCCGAAAATAAGACCTAACTGGAAAATAAGCCCTAGCATGATTTTCAGGGTGCTCATAATATAAGCCCTACCCCAAAACAAGCCCCAGTTAAGATCGTCAGCCAGACATGACTGTATTTGAATAATGTAGATTTTTGTACATGAATGAATGAATAAAATGCATCTTTTGGAGCAAAAATTAATATAAGAGCCAGTCTTGTTTTCAGGGAAACACGGTAGCATAACACTCTCTAGGTCCACCCATGTTGTCATGAATGATAAGACTTCATTCTTTTTTATGGCTGAGTAATATTCCCTTGTATATATACCACATCTTCTTTATCCATTTGTCATTGATGGACACATCAATCGGTGCGTCCGCATCTTGGCTACTATAAATAATGCTGCAGTGAACATATATCTTTTCAAGTTAGTGTTTTTGTTTTCTTCAGATATGCTCAGGGGTTATTACTGGGTTGTATGGCAGCTACATTTTTAAATTTTTTGAGGAACCTCCATGCTATTTTCCATAGTGGTTGCACCANGAGCAAGGCCCGGTGGTGCAGGCCTTCCCGGAGGAGGGGAGGCTCCGGGCCAGCACGGACAACACAGATACGACATGACCTGGGTTTCTATTTGGTATCGAGAGCCGCTGGCCCCCTGACAGACATCCCCACGGACACCTGCTTCTCAGGTGCTCATAAGCCACCTCCACAAAGCTGGCTGCGCCTTCTCCCTCTGCCCAAAGTGGCAACTACTTTGGGGGCAGAGCCTGCCCCTGTTTGAGCTCCAACTGTCAGCATCAGCACATTACTTAGACACATAACAGACGTGAAACTCAGTATGAACTCCTGGTGCTTTCAACTCAGGTGCAACAAAACCAAATTTTACAATTTACAAACGGAATGCAGACATAGGCCATAGATTAAAATGAACAACCATAATTTGGTACTGGTGGCTTTTGTGGGGAAATCGAGGCAGTGTCTGTGGCCTGAGCACAGCATGGACGGCCCTGGGGCTGGCTCTCGGGAGTGGGGGCTCGCTCCCTGCTGTGTTGGGGAGTTGCATGCCCCCCATTTCCTGCCCCCCTCCTTCTCAGCCTCGTGGAAGCGTCCTTCATACAGCATGCTATCCTGTCTTTGGCCTTCTCTTGGCAGGTGCGATTATTTATACAAAGTCTTTCTTGAATATTCCTTACGCAGAAAGTCCCAACCATGGGTACAAATGCAGAGACAGGCCACAGATCACAGGAGGGCCATTCTCAGATTCACCCCAATAAAACACTGTCCTCGGGGAGTCTTGGCCCCAAGAGCATGTCTGTGAGTCCTCGGTTTGGAAGCACTGCTCTGAGGAGGGCTGAAGTCGGGGGCTGCCCCTAGGCCCTGCAGTGGCCCCTCCACAGAGACCCAGGAGGAGTCTGCCTGGGTTTCAGTGCTGCCCGGGAACACGCTGCCCTTGGAGGCACCCTTTATGCTGCCTGATCCCCTGGTATAAAGATGCATGGGACATTGTAGGGAAGATGTTAGTGAAAGTAAACAGAGCCAATAGAAATACACGAAGAAAAAGAATTCCAGAGACAAGGTACAAGCATAGAATAGAGGGTAATTCAAGGAGGCATAAAGGATGACTGGTATCAGCTGGGTAGATGTGTTTTTTACTGAAAGTCACTAACATTGCTAAATTAAAAACTTACTGAAAATAGACAACTTAATTCTAGTCTTTACCCCACTGTTTTCTGACTCGGGGACTGGGAGCGTCTCTGGCAGCCAAGGTGCCGCTATACAGGGAGGTCTCTATCCTGGGGAGGTCTCTAACCTAGTCACACTGGGAGGTCTCTATCCTGGCCACATGGGAGGTCTTTATCCTGTTTAACATTTGGTGAGTCTCTCCATCTGACGGCGCAGAGTTTGGCCTATGGGTCTCCCAAAGGGGAGCTCCAGAAATGCACCCCCCAAATCTCCCAGGAGGGTCCCAGAGGGAGCCTGTGGCATGCACCAGCATGCAGAGGAAGCTGGCCCTGCAGTAACCTAGGTTCCCG